CGTAACGTAACGTAAGAAAAGGAAGACCAGCGGATCTGTTCAATGTGGTGCCTTTATGTGCGCTTTGCTTATAGGGTGGAGACATCTGGCCATTTTCTCCTCACTTTTACATTTATTTTTTGTTCAGAAGCGCGTGAAAGAGCGTGTCCCTGCACGCGTCTGTGGCGCTGACAGTGCTATGGCGAAATTTTGTTTTCGTCGATTTCTTTGTATTTTCCCTGTGAGCGCGTGCTGTCGGCATCGGGTACTAAAAAGGGTAGCATCACTCTAAACAGAAGGTCATTGAGGCACCCTAATTCAACGGTAAGTAATGGCCGGCCGCAAGTCGGCAGGCCAGAGTGGAAAGGCTGCCGCCATCTATGAGCGACGGCGGCAACCAGATACGTAGCTTGCCGCCGTCGCTCATAGATGGCGGTAGGTGTCCAGAGTTCGGTGTCTTCACTTCTTTGCGGGGGACACGATCCTGGGGAAACTAGCCCTTAACAGCTCCGTTGTAAAACGGGTCTGTGTGAACGAGTCACTGGACCTGGGAAAGTAGCGCCATTGCCTTCCCACCTGCTAGACCAACACAACCAAATCTCTCAGGGTGATTGGCTCATCGCTGTCGGTTGCCATGGTGATCGCCACCCTTTCTAGGCTTCGAAGCTTCGAAGGGGTCGTTAAGACCAGTCGCACCAGGATCGCTATGAAGCATCATCGTACTGAAAGCGTTCCTCGGCTCATTTGAGCGTCTTTGGCACTGTGTAAGCAATAAACTTATCACTCATGCTCAATTACCCGGACCTCTTACAATTATGTTGCTCTTCGTGCGTTTCAAGATAGTAAAAGATTTTTTTCAATGCCTCCAAGCACTGACTTTGCATGTCATGGCGGTACGAAGATGTACGGCATCAGACGCGGCGTCGGTGCGGGGGGCATTGAAAAATAATTTTACTGCCTTGAAACACGCAAGAAGAGCAACATAAATGTAAGAGATCTGGGGAAATAAGCATGAGTGATGAATTTATTGCATGCACACTGCCAAAGACGCTCAAATTAGCCGAGGAACGCTTTCAGTACGCTGATGCTCCATAGCGATTTTGGTGCGACTGGTTTTGACGACCCTTTCGAAGCTTCAAAACTTTCAGAGGGTCCAAAATGGCGATCACCATGGCAACCGACAGCCATGAACCAATCACCTTAAAGGATTAGTCGTCTGTATGTTATATTTGTTTATGTCGGGCTAGCAGGTGGGGAAGGCAATGGCTCCAATTTTCAAGATCCAGTAACTTTAGGTACAATGTATTTAGTATAAATTAAAAAAGGAACAGTGCATATTAGTACAGTAAATTAACTCATAGTTATACAATATCACAATATTTGAGTGTTATGACCAGTGTACTATATCGCTGACTTCAATTTTGGCCAAATATATATTTGTTCACGCGCATCATTCGTCAAGGTCCTTCCGTACATCGCGGTGTGTTCTACAGGTAAGTAGACGCACGGGCATTCTTCGAAATATACTTCTGCCCTCGTCATTCGCCGAGCCTTTTAGGTGATGGCTATGCCGCAACCAACGAATCCTCGCCGCTGTGGAGACCGTTTGACGCCATCTTGGACAATATTTTTTTTTTAATATAATGTATTTGCATATATAAAAAGACGAACGTTTGATTTCAGCAAGATCTTACCACCGTCTATTCTTTCTTTTTTTTTTGTTCCTGTAATTGATAGAAGTAATAGTGAGGCTCACAAAGATCATAGCTCCGATGCAAGAACTTACTGCGCTGAAAAAGTGTGATGTTCTCGTGTTGTGTCTGAACATGCCAAATATATCCTTGATTCTACGCTGCACTTGACTTGTCCTCCAGGCGTGATGTGCCACCACAAGCGAGCCCCGGTCCTGTTCCTCGAGTCCCTACAGGACACGGGTTGCAGATTCAAGTCTCACGCGTGCATCGGGGGTCGAGAATTCTTCTTGAAGAACCAGTGCGCCCCTGGCGGACGCCGGCAGGGAGAGATGGGCTACCAGAGCCGGAACTCACTCGGTCGGGGAATGCAACTTCTGAGGACCCGAGCCACCTCCCCTTACTGCCAGCAGTGACATCGCGGAGCCAGCTGTGGCGACACTCAACCTTCGGTGAAACATTTACACAAGCGTGATCATGCTGATGAAGAGCAAGGAGCACAGATTGTATAGACCCTTTTCTTTGGAATCGCCACCAGGCGGTACTCCAGTCTTTGACGTCCCAAGGAACTCCCGGTTCATGAAAAAGAATGAACAGAGCCCACCTTAACACTGCTGCTTGAAACGTCGATGAAACATCTAACCTCCACCTATCCAGACGGAAGCCGAAAGAACCAAGAAATGCGAGATCCGTTCACATGTTTGGAATATTCTTGTAAACCAACGTGTATCTCAAACTCCGCTGTCCGTGTCGCATTGATGCTTTCTAGCACAGGTAACATAAGCAAGCTCGACAGTCTCACAAAGACGGAGCGACCGCAAGTCACTCGGTACGCCAAGCAGCGGTTCATGTTCTTACACATGCCAAAGGGTCTATACTGAGCACAAAGCGCAGTTCGGAGCCCAGCTGCTTCCTCATGCATCGGCTCCTTCCGCAGTTGCTCTCCTACGCTATCCTGCCCCCCCCCTCCCCCCCCCCCCCCCAAAAAAAAAAAAAAGAAAATAGTACAGTCTGAGCTTAGTTTGCCTCGACGGGTGACTTGTCTCCCAGCTGTAGATAAGAAATTTAACCAGTGCAGTACAACCGCCAGCCTGGGGTCTTTAACATGCACCCCGCAGTAGTGATACACGACCGCACGACGGTACGATGCTCATCCAGATCGAAACGGGCAGGGGTGCTAACAATTACCTTTGGCCGCGGTTTTTATTCCCGTGGGGGAGCTTCTTATGTTTCGCGCTTATGGCTTATGGCTCGCGTTTCAAGAATCGCCCTGTATAAATACGACACAACATGTTATTATATTCCACAATACTGCCAACCCGGTTAAGGGCCAAGCCAGGAGTAGACATTTACAAGCATGCACATACGTTCCTACACATGATAATGGATAGTCGTATGTGAACGGTATAAATGAAGTAAACAGCTGTCTTAAATACGATGCACACTCCGTAGCCAATAGACCGATCTCACTAAGCGTTCGGCGCATGCATGACACCGCCATAACTTTAGTTCGCAAGACGCAGACGGCCGTGTTTGCAAGGCTCGTGCCGTTTCGTGCTCCACACGCGCAGAGCTCCAGCGAGGTTGTCGCGTGTGCAGAAAGACTAAAGTTCCCTCGATGCATTGCGGCAGCGGTGGCGTAGTCAAACTGGCTGGTGAGATCGGTCTGCTGTTCTGAGTCAACATCAATTTTATTATTTATATTAGATTATAAGGGAAGATGTTTTATAATATGATGAACGAGAACTATTGCATCGAACGAAATGCTTTCGCCGGTGGGCTCAGCGCAGTACATGAATAAAATGGCGGTCATAGCGCACGAAACGACGGGGAATAAGTTACAGCATGTAATATAGTGGTATCTAGAACAGACATAGAAACTCAAACAGTTAGCCAGTTTCCGCCCCCTTCACTGAAAGAAACGAAATTGCACTGCCTTGCCGCATAATTCTTATATCCGCGATGAACATACTAAGTAAGCATAGTTGAATCACCCGGAGCTTGGTCTAATCACTAATGAACATGACTGAGACGCGCAGCCTGCAGATGGCCAACAAGGCGAAGTGTCGCCCTACGCATCCCCAGTAGGCGGGCTCGAATCACTGCCGAGGTGCCCGAAATTTTACGGGGGCTCATTTTAGAGACGGTGCCAAGGAATCGAGATTTCGGTTGCACTCCAAGAGATTTAAAGGTAGTCGAAACTAATCCTCAGTCCCCCCTTGGGACGTGCCAGATGCTCTTGCTTGTTTTGGCACGCAGTGATGTGATTGCTGCGCCATTTGAGCCAAAACTGCGCCAACATACCTATACTCTACTGCATCCTGCTACATTTTACCAAAATGTGAGAAATTTGCGCCAACATTGAGCCAAACATTATTATCACTTTAAAGGGATACTGAAGCGAACATTTCAGTGTCTATAATAAATGGCGCACTATCTTTCCGTGAGTCAGCAGCCGCCGATGTGCGCGAGCACACGCAACGAAATTGACGTCATCATATCCCCCATTCACGCTTAATAAGCGTGAATGGGGGATATGATAAGGTCAATTTGTAAGGATGCTATTCTCCCATTCTTTCGTGTGCACCGGAGGTCCACCCTTGTCAAATTGCCCTCCGAGAAGGGGGGAGGGGGGGGGGGGGGTTCACCTTGTTTGGGGGGAGGGGGGGCGGCTGCCCCCATCGCCCCCCCCCCCCCCCCCTTGGATCCGCTACTGATCTGACAGCGTGACACTCCGGCTTTTGTGACGTCATTTGTTGCCACTTCCGGCACCAGCTGCGGTACACCATTCGAAGACGCGTTACCGGCATGGTATTTTGGCCGAAACGAAATCACCGGTTGCCGGATTTCGATGCTCGGGTGTAGCGGTTCAGGTGCATGTTACTCCATCGGCGCTTTCCTTTATGGACGAAATATCGGTAAATTTTGGTTATTTCGCCATAAGCAGGAGCGGTGTATTTTGTTGGGTTGGAGCAGGTGAGAGGACTGGCGGGGCTTGTTTTTACAATAATTTGAAAGCTTAAATAGCATGCTGCGCGCATCTAGTTTAATTTGTGACTCGTGAGCAACAATTTTCAAATTTGAACCGTTCATTGCGGCTATCGGTCTAACACTCTCATGGCGATCTCCTGCTATGTTTCGTAATAGCGCGGAGAAACAAGTAACACGTCAGTGGAGAAGTTAGAATATGTATTTATGATATTTTACATGCATACGTTTGAAGCATATTAATCGGTGCTTTCTTTTTTATTTTTATTTCTGCAGTTTAGCTTGAACTTCCAAATTAAAGAGGGTAAAATTGCCTCAGAATACTCCGTGGACACGCAGCTTCTACCAAACCCTACACCTCTGTTTGGGATTCAGGGGTGCTCCATTGCGGCACCCGAAAGCCCGTGCAAACTGGGGCATGTTGCGAACAGCAAAGTTGCAGCGACGCTGCTCCAGGGACTTTGCCTTTCGTGTGTGCGGTTTAGAGGCGCACGTGTAGAAGCAACGGCTGATGAAGAACAGCTGGTCTCTGGTGAAATCTTCGAGTCCGCCAACACGGACCAAAGACCTTGACGCGGCTGCCTTGTAAGCCATAAACAATGCTTGGGACGCCATCGAGTCGTACAGGAACAATCGCCACTCGGCGTCCCTTGTGCCCGAGCTATCGGCAGTCTCGGCATGACAGGACAAGTTGGCGACTGCAATACTTTTAGACCAGTCCAGAAAAGCTTCGTTTCCTTCGGCGATTTTGCCATTGCCGATGAAGGAGCGCACAACTTCGTGGGACAGGATAGATCCGAGTGCGCCATAGTTAATTTCTGGAGAATTCTCAGAATGAAAAAGTGGCTCTAGCATGGAAGCTGCGGTTACGTGCATAGTGTTGGGAGCTTGGTAAAAGGATCCGATGGAGACGCTGTCGAAATCGGGGTAACTTGGCTTTCGCGCCTTACGCGTGACGGTCCTAATGAACTGCAAAGCATAGGCCTTCGATGCGGCCAGGAACGACGCCAGGAACGGGCCCCGAATGTTCTTGTATCTCTTAAAGTGCTCGTTGATAATTCTAGAGCTGTCTTTTTTTGTGAAAGGGTAACCAAAGTTAAAGCGTAGTGTCTTAACTATTTTCGTAAGTTCAACTTTGGTGTATGAACTACTGGGGTAATGTAATCTTATGATACTGCTCACAATATGGTCCTGAATATTTTTTGCCATAGCCTGGATTCCATACACCCTCTTTCTGTCCATCACGGAAATCATGAACGGCAAGATCACGGCATCCTTGTACAAATACATTGTGGTGGCGTAGCAGAAATCTTTTGTTTGGCTCTTGGACTCGGTATGCAGAAGTCCGGAGATAGACGCCAATTGTCGGCCCACCTCCCAGATCAAATAAACTTTTGCTTCGAACGAACTCAAGTTAGAGGCGGTTTTATGAAATACCAAAAACTCCTTGGTGAGGAAGTTGACAGCGTAATTGCCAATTAGGCGGCCATTACTATGCTTCTTTAAAGGTCTCGTCCAATTCTCGGCGTAGTGACGTGCTAAGTCTGCATAGTCAGGCGACAGCTCAGTGCTCCATGTATCAAATACTTTCGCCTCAGCGGCTTTTACAGCACTGATAAGCCCGTCTGTTTCATTGTAATTAACAGTAGTAGAGGCTCGAAGGACCTCCCGAACCAGATGGTTGTACTCGCCCCCGTTCGCGACGTACCACCACCGTATCTCTCTCCAGCGAGCCATCTCAGTGCTTGGAATCAGATGCAGAACTGTCAGTTTATCATCGTCAGCTGACAATCCCCGGCTAGCGACCCCTAGTCCAAAGAACACTTGTATGTTGTACCGGAGAACAAGCATCAGTGACCTGTCCAAAAGATCGCATGTGTACTCGTCCTTCAAGGAGAGCTTGGCCTTTTTCATAAAGCTGATGAGCTCATCGCGGTTTCCCTTTTTGTTAATCCTTAGTGTTCTGGAAACGCAGCTGTCGTAGAACCTGCGGGCTTTATGTCTTGCAGATTTACGATGCTCTCTCGTTGCGCTGACCTCCATGAACTGTTTATGGACCTTGCGGGAGACCCAACTGTTCACACTGTCTATGACGTTAGTCTTTCTGGGATGACCAAATCCGTTGCAAACGTAGCTGTAGAAGTCTCGGCAAGGGTCTTTCTGGGTGTTCACCGACTGCAGGTACAGATGAACCACCATTTCTTTCGCGCGTTTAGGAAGATGGCTGCTGGCATTCTCGTCAGCCATAGATGTAGTCGTGCGTGTCTCCCTCTTGGCGTTGGTTGAATGGACGTTTTTCCAGTAGAAAAATACTAATGTGGTCGAAATGGTCAAAAGAGAAATTACTAAGACTGAACACTTGCAGACATTGCAGAGTGTAATGAGGGCGCAGCACCCGCCGCACTTGCAGCAGCCCTTGGTACATTTCTTCCAGCGCGACTTTTCTTCCGCTTCCTTCGTTCGTCTCTGCAAGAAGTGCGAGTGTGCGAAAAGATAAGAAACAAGGACATCAGGTCAATCATTAAAAAAAAACAATGTAGAGGTACAAAAAAGTAGTTTGGCTTGTGATCCTTGCTGCTAACGAGTGAAACAATTAAAGAGAAACTTACGTTGATATTTGTAGCACAAGAACGATCATGCATTTTTCCAGGGTTGTTGTACCATAAAAACGATCTCTGTAAAAAAAAACAAAAAAAAAACGGTGCAAGAAATAAATGTGGTTATAAAACACAATTTTCACAAAATAAACAAATATCTAACAATACACACTTTTTTTTTTCTTAATTGAATAAGTAACACGAAGTGTTGTACAGTCATTTTGAACGAACACATAGTAGACTTCGTACGTGTGCTCACACCACAAAATGTTGTACTCGAGTGCTCGGTATATTATTAATTTAATACACCGCTTTCTTTGAAAAAGAAAGAAATATATAGAGAAACGTGTTAAGAACTCAGCAAAGTCTCAGAAGAGGCAAGATATATTAAAATATAATCAATCAATGTGTTCTATTGACTGTGCATGGGCTCTTAGTCGCTGTAATAACTAAAGGGCGTGGCTACATCGGCCATGACTACTATGAATGGATGTAACTATAGGATACAAGCTGCCACATATCGGCTGTTTTGCAACGTGAATATAAACATCTATTTTTGCGCATAAGACGCTTCAACTAACACGAACTTGGCGTTGTTGCCCCGGGGACGTTTGGACCAATCTCAAACAGGTGAATTGAGCAAGTTTGTTAATAATGAAGGGGTCATAATTGTAATAAGTACTACAGGGTGAGATCAAGAAAAATGAAACCGATTTTTTTCGGCCCGCAAAAATAAACTACGCACCGCAGAAAGCTGAAACTCCGTGAGAGTGTGACGCCAGTGGTGGTGATAAAATCCGAAAGTTTGAGCACATGATATTACCAGAAAAAAAAAAAAATCGTTTAGCCTTTCCAGTTTCCACTCTGGTGAAGAAGGAAGAGCAACGGAGCTGTACTGTGTGCCGCCATCTATGAGCGACGGCGGCAAACAGACAACCGACAAGCCGGTTGTCTGGTTGCCGTTGTCGCTCATAGATGGCGGTAGCTGTCCAGAGGGTTGTGTCGAGATTTATTTGTGCACGGACACGAAACTAGGGAAACTAGCCCTTAACAGCTCCGCTGCAAAATTCCATGAGCAGATGTCAACCTAAGCCTAATATTCAACAAATTGAAATTTGAGATTGTTGGAGCGTGTAGCTATTATGTCGGTGTAAAACCTTGAGCAAGAAAGAAAGTTATGTTGTATTCAAGTTTCTTCACTGAAATAAATCCTGCAGGCGCCCCCAATTTCAATTAACGGCATGATGCAAATTAGGCTCAGCTGGACGCCTGCTATTAATTCTTTTCTCTAATTTTTTTAATTTCAATAGCGTGTGCTCACACTCGCATTTTATCACCACCGCTATGCGTCACTTTCTCATGGCAAAATTACTTTTAAAAAGTCATTAAATTACATTACTAAATACTTTCTAAAAAACTTCAAAAATGTAATTTAAGTACATTACAAATTACTACAGACTAAAAGTAATGACATTACATTACAGTTACTTTGACATTACTTTTGAAAACCTTGAGGCAGTAATTCGTCCTCATTTTATTTACTGTATATGTACCAAAACTCAGACCTTCCTGTCTACACCTCAACAGCCTTATGCGCCTCAACGTGAAACATACTAAACAGTAGTTTTGCTGGCGCACACAACTTAAGTGTTAAATATGACGAATAGTTTTTTTAGACGTGAAACAAAGACATTAGATTAATCGGTTTCGCTGTTCATTCAACGGTGAAGGTCCTTACTAAAAGGGTGATATGTTTCCGTCTTCCTGATATATACGAAGTTATAGTCCATGTCAGTCCATGGGAGCTCGTTCTTACAAGGCGTCATCACGTGAAATGTTTCCCTTCTCCCTCGGACGCAGTATAATCCTATCGTCCCAAGCGCACTAGTTGACATATTCCCGGTCATTCCCCTCAAGCAGTATTGTTCCGAAACACCCGAAGAGCCCAAGTTTTTGCGCATTGCCACACAAAGGAGCTGGATAATTGCTAAGCAGAAGCGTCGCCAGTTGAGGAAAGGAATGAAGCGAGCTTCCTAAATTGTGTACTTTCCCAACATACAGGTGGCGATATTAGCTTGTAGGCTTTTTCCCAAATAAGTTCCCAAGGGAAGGCAGCGAGGCATACCGCGAGCGACACTTGCTTTGCTCGAGGACGCACGAAAAGTTCTGGGGCCTTGACAAGGCATTTGAGGTTGACTATCTATTCCGGTCGTTTGTTGCTCACAATGGTCGAAGCTGATGGTTTTACCTTGCTTGACGAAAGAACAAGTCTGGAGATCTGGTTGTGCTGTCCTCTCAGGTTTTAAAATGTGTTGACCTGACTGGTGATTTGCCCTCCGCCTTATAGCCTATAAGCCGTTCATTCCTAAGCTGCAGCAGTACGGTGGAAGCTACGTGCTCGTTGGAACAGTCGCAAGTCTATCTTCCGCCACGTAACCACGCTCTCCTTCATACCCAGGCGCAGAGAAAGGGACGGGTCAGGTGATCAAAGGGAGGTGTTTGATTGGTTCTGGTTAGCTCGCAGCTCCCACCGCATTGTCAGCTTAGGGATAAACGAAGGACAGTATCGGTCGTGATAATATGTGAGGCCGTCTTGCCTCGAGTTCGTAAGCCGTGGCCTTCCAGCGATGTTTACACGCACGCAAGCTTTACCCCTTCGCCTTTCCAGCCCGAATTTGTGCGTCTGTTTAGTTCTTCTTACGAAGCTTTGCGCTCAGGTGGTCGACTTCTATATTCTCTCTGATGTCTCTTTGACAACATTTCACCATGCAAATTATTTTAGAGCGCAGCTCTTAGGGGCCCGTTTCCAGCCTGAGCGGCGTCGGCGTCGGCGTCGGCGTAACCGGGGGGGGGGGGGAGGGGGGGTCACGTGACCCCCCCCCCGAGGTCACGTGACCCCCCCCCCCCCCTCCCCGAGGTCACGTGTCCCCCCGAGGTCCCGTGACCCCCCCAGGTCACGTGAACCCCCAGGTCACGTGACCCCCCCCCCCCCCCCCCGAGGTCACGTGACCCCCCTCCCACGAGATCACGTGACCCCCCGGGGTCACGTGACTACCCGCAGGTGACGTGACCCCCCTCAGTACCCTTCCCTACTCCTCCTCAAGAGCTACGCTCCAATTCGGCGTTACAGGGATTTGTAAACTGCTTTCTTTTTTTCTTATTTCTTAAAAGCTTGCAAGCGAACTTTCTAATTTATGACAAAAGTAATTTTAAAAGTAATGAGTATTTTTTGTCGAAATTACTGCCTCAAAGTAATTCATTACAATACTGAATTACCAGTCTAGAAAAGTAATTCATTACATTACTCATTACTACAAAAGTAATTTAATTAATGTAATTTCATTACTGTAATGTATTTATTGCCATCTCTTGTTTGGGCTCTCTGCGATGATTTATATTCCGAAAGACAGGGTTTACTTTTCTCGATTTCACCCCGTAGAGCTGTTTGGTTGAAGCTGTGATGGAGGGCTCTACCAAGGTAATCGTGTGCCAAAAAAAGAAAATATGGCATGGCCAATCTTTAGAGCATCGAGCAGTCTATCCGTCCTTGAGGTTTCAACGTTTTAGAGGTCAAATGTAGCCAGAGCCCTTTGACTTGAACTGAGTGCTTACCCAAGAGAAAGGACGGTCTTCATTCTTCTCTTTTTCGGTTTGTATGAAGTCGGTTGATGATGGTGACAGATGATAATTTTTATTGTGTTTTCCTATGCCTGAAGAAGGCAAACACAATTTTGTTTTTGGTCAACGTATTTATTTATTTTCCTTCGTATACGAGCAACAACACCTTGATTACCTTGATTTTCCGGTGTCCGGTTCTTGAGTTTGCTTGCGAATAAGCCTAGGCTGCCTTCGTGTCTGTCTGTGTCAGGGTGAAAACATCCTTTGTTGCACTGAGTGGACCAGCGCGTGACGCGCATGCCCACTCGGTGCGTGGCTTGTGCTGTAAAATTGTGTCTAAGCATTAGCCAAGGCTACGCGCTCGAGCTGAGCCACACAGGATTGCGCGAACGTCAAAAGACACGAAAATAATGATTCGGGAGGGCTTGGGGGAAGGGGGTTGGGGAGTGGCTGAGATGTTACCACTCAAGTACGGTGTTACTCAAGCAAAAGCGCGTGGTGTGTGTATGAAGGCGTTTTAAATAGGCCCATTTCAAATATCTGCTCTAGTTCTGTTGGAAGCTGGGGAATCTCTGCACAGTGACGGATACCGAAGACAACACAAAGGTTGGGACTCTAAAATGTTTTTATATTTCAAAGCTTTACACATTTTTTTTTAATCCGTTTTGGACGAGCCTAGTTCGTCAACGTGGAGCTGTCCCGAAGCCTTTCAGGACGAGTACAGCTCGTCTGCTTTCTCCGGTTCAGGCACTCAACCGTTTTGGACTAAGAAGGTTTGCTCATGTCTTCGCTTGAACTCAGGGCCAGAAAAAAATTTCGGGGGGGGGGGGGGGGGGGGGGAGGGGGACAACGGCGGCCATTTTGAAAATGTCTATTGTCTTATTTTCGCCTATGAATCATGTGCATTGGTGGCATATAATGGAGAGTTATAGCAAACCGAAGAACCGGTCCCGGTTTGGTACCCGGTAGCCGACCGATGCCACTGCGCGTGCGCAGAGGTGGAGATTAAAATCGGCTGGCTGCAAGTGCACC